CCTCTGAATAAAAACTGAACATACTATTAACTGATTGATAGATAGACAGACAGACAGATAGAATAAAAATAATAATAATAATAAAATAAAATAAAGTGTCTGAGACCCAAACAGAACTAATGACATTTTTAAGTGTAAATATAATATTTTTAATCTATAATCAGTTCTCGTAAAACAAAAATATTTTTTAATATTGAGCCTGATTTCTCAAGATTCAGTTTCTGAGACCCTGATGTATATCACATCTGTTTGGAAAGGATTCACACTTGCCCGCTGACGTTCATGTGACCTCTACAAATCCAATGAATATTCCATGCATTTCAGAAAGCCCACGTCAAGCATTTCTATAGTGTCCCGATATCTCCATGACCTTTCCCACTGAGGGTATTACAACCAGGGTATGAGACAAAAAAAAAAGGCTGATGCAAATGAGATCCTATTGCTTTTCCTTAAATACACCACTCTAACAACCCTCTTCACCTCTCTCAGCCTCTCTTAGCACAACATATGCCATTGATGATTTCACAGCTTCTAACATGGTTTCCAGCAGCCACAGACAGACAGACCGTGCTGAAATTAGCTGGCCTTGTACATAACCACATCTGCCAGCACAAAAGACGCCTTAGGAGTCACAGATCGCGAAGTATTACCAAACCGAATATTGACGATCCACAAAACGCTTAGTCTAAATTTTTCCTTGTTAAAAGGCAACAAACTCTCCCTTCCTGGTTCCTGCTCAAGAAAGAAAGTTTGATCATCACATAAGGAGTGTAATTATGGATCCATTTGTGCCCTGAAGCTATTGTTTGATTACCTGAAAGCAGCAATCAAGCAGGCAGGGGACCGAAGTAAAATGAAAAAAAAAAAAAATCCTTCTCACGCAGAACGACGAACACAACACATCAGTATACAGTAGACGCAGTTTGAATTTCCATTAAAATGTTCCTCAATGAGCGACCTATTTTTTCATGACTTTTCCATTTATCAGCAGGTACGTGACATGGCTTTTATAGGTGCAGATTTGCAACGGCCACTTTACTTTGAAAACGCTTTTTGAAAGCTCCGGTGTAATTGAGCTTCGGAGATCTTTCCAAAGTAGCGCCATTTAGATTTCAGGGAGTCATTTTCAACTATGCCTATCTGAAACTGTTGCTAATCCACTCTTTTTAATCACACATGAAATTAGGCTCTCAGACAATGGTCTGCAGACACAGAGACCCCTGGGACGGCTGAATGGAGACTGAATGGTGAATCAACAATAGTAAGTGTGGGCTAGTTATCCTCTTGCACAACATTGGACTCTATGTGCCACAAATAAACAAACAAACAAAAATCAACATTAAACAAATAAAAACAGATAAATAAAAAAAGTATGTCTATAATTTTCCTTGAAATTTAAGATATTATTAACCCTTTTATAAATAAAATTGTTTAAATAATATATTAAATTTATATATAATATACAATTTTCCTTTAACTCATGTAAATGTAATAATATTTAAGATACTTTAAATAAAATAATATTCTTATTTTATAATCAGTTCCCATATTAAAGAGGCAGTCTTTGTCTGGTTCCTCAATACCAAGTTGTTTTCTCAATCTAGTCGGCAATAAAATTCCACAATTCCACGATTACTAACAAAGTACACAAGATTATTAATAAATCTCTGATAAAGTTCAGCTTTTGAGGTGTCAAAAATTAGCAATAGTAAAGAAATCAATATTATTTAAAATATTCCTACTCTTTCTAGAAGTCAGAAAAATCATAAATGCAATGGCAAAATAGCAATGTAGATGCTTTCATATTGAATTCATTGAGCATTTTTTGTTGTAGCATAAAGCGTTAAATAAGAGGGATCTGGTATGTTGTTCATTCTGGCCATGCATTATGACATTCCATTAGCAAAATAAAAGAATAGTGCTGCTAATACAGAAATACCATTATTGAGAGTACAAAAAAAAGACAATTAGCATAATGGATAGACTTGATGAAAACAAATGAGCAACACTAAGATTACTCTGATGCAAAACAAACAGAAGACTGCAACAAAGCTGGGGGGAAACGACCATATATTGTAAAAATCTGCAAGCATGAAAAACTCTACTTTGGGTTGTTCTCACTCAAAAATGTGCAAAACTGCAATAATGGATGGACCTCAACCACTTGTGATGCCATCAAATACTATTTCACATAAGTCATATTATGTAGTGGCCTGAAAATTCTTTGACACATTTACAATCGCATGGTGGAGATTCTATTGCAAACTGTGGACACTGTTGTTTTCTCAGGACCAACTTGTTTTTTTAATTTTTTACTTTATGTATGAAATCAGTTTCCCTCAAGTAGACACAAGTGTCATCGAATCTAAACTGTTGTTTTAACTTAACACATTTCACAAACAGATGTGTTAGCTTTCATGGAAAGTGTGCTTATTTTATCTTTCTTTAACTAAATGCAAATTGATTTAATAAACATACATGAATATCATTACATTACATATATAATATGATTAAGGTATCCAAATACTTTTGGGGGCCACTGTAAATCTAAAAAGTAGTAATATTCTAAACAATAGACACTTAATAATACATATCCATTTAGACACTGCTAAATGAAAAAGTCTCTGTAATAAAGCTATGATAGCACAACAAAACCAAATTAACTTATGTTTAAGCTATAGTCCTCAAATTCTCAGCATTTAAAAAATCTTAGTTGTAATACTACATACAGTATATACACTGTTCAATAAGTAGAAGAGATAGCTGTCACACTTTTTACTCTAATGAATATTTCTTAGAAAGTCAGTCAATTTCTGTATTAGACAAACACTTCAAAGACTGATTACCAAATAGCTATTGAACTTAAAGAATTAATTCTTCTATTTAGCAAGGATCAACATTGAAAGTAAAGACATTTATGTCGTTACAGTATTTTGAACTTTCTATTCAAAGATTCCTGAAAAAAAAAAAGTTTACAACATTGCTAATAATGAGAATTTTTTGAGCAAATCAGCATATTAGAATTGATTTCTGAAGGATCATGTGACACTGAAGGCTGGAGTAATGATGCTGAAAATTCAGCTTCGCATTTACGTAAAAACGTTTCTGTTGAAACCTAATTACGTGGATGTACCGCTGACCAGATGACAACTTCCCCATGTGACAACTTGCCCTGGTCTCCTCTAAATGGCCTCCAAGGTTTCAGGGGGCCTCACTTTAGATCTAATAGTAACACTGAAGCTAGTTGGCCTGAAGGAGGAAAATCGCAATCATTTGTAAATTGGTCAAGGTCGTGCGAATACAATAGAAGTGGGTTGATGATTAGTCGGGGAATACCGACTAAAAATGTAGGCCTCTTTTTCAGGAAAACATTCAATCCTGCTCCTGAAGTACCCCACATCACATTGTGGATGTCCACCTTTTGATTTATATCATGAACTCATTAGTAGAGGCTCCAAGACCAGAATTGGGTGTCAAATAAGAAAAACACCCAAAGTGGGCAGCACAGGAATGGGGACGTGCCAAAAAACGGCCGAGTTACAGGAGCTGTCCAGCATGAGAAGGTGCTGAAATCTCTACAGCTACTGCACAAAATTAAATCTCTGAAGCAAACAACTAGTCATAAGCAAATAAGCGAGAAAGGACTTGCACGCTTAGAGAGAAGCTCCCTGATCAGTGCACTCTGGCTTTCCAGTTTAGACGCTGGAAAAGGTTACCACTATCCCCTCTAGTGGCCTTACAAAGTGACTGGAGACAGGGCTGTAAAAACATCTCCCTGTTGATCTCATACATCAGTTTGCATACACTATTATGCAATTTCCTTGATATAATGCGATGGAAAAAAGTGAATCCATCAGAAAGCGCTATAGAGTCGTCATGGCATCCTTTTGTAGACAATTCCCAGCAAAGAATCAATCATGAATCAGATTTTTGTTCACCAAAACGCACTCTTGTCCTCATTGCTGCGCCAGCATTGACATTATTCAACGAGAACACTATCTGTCTTGCTTTTTGCACATTTGTAGCTTTAAATTATTGACATTATGTAATGAAAACAGATCCAGACTGATGGCATGTTCAGGAGAACCAGTGTTGAACCATGATGGCTCATATGAGGAAAACTTTGAGAGAGGGAGAGAATTTATGTCTTAATATGCCAAAACTAATAGCTTTTGCAATTCAAAATGTCATTATTTGGCATCCAAAGCTGGTTGAAGACAACAACATTAATGGTTTCTTTGCTCCAGGTGTTATTATTTAGTTGCTCGGATCAGCTGAGGGCCATTACACAGCTCTTCTATTTATCCCAAAACCATCAGAGTCCATCAAAAACACCATCATATAGCTATTACAGCATTAATGTTTCTATCTCATATTACTTATCCAACGTTAACCTTCTAACAATAGACAAACACTGGAACATCAGCTTTAAAATGATTGCATAAATGAGATCTGACTTTAAATTCTCCATGCACTTATTAATACATGCTGGTATGTGACTTCAAACTCATGTAAAGTCTTTTTTCCTCCCTCTCTCTCACGCTCTCTTTAATAGCACAATACACCTTTGACGAAGCTCACGAATGTGACAAAATTCCTTTTGGGATTCCTGTCTTGAATACAAAGCAGCTTCTATAAAGACTCCTCTCTGTGAAGTCCCAAAAAAAAACTGATGCATTAAGCTTAGATGTTGCAATGAATTGTCCCCAATCAGGTGTCATTTATTTGGAATTTTTTTAACATTGATTGTGTACTTATATGGAGTAACAAAAATCTGTTTCCTTTTTACTCTTGATTTAATATGGATATTCAATTGCAATCCAACTGTATAATTAACATTTTATATCAATTTAAGATCGTTTTTAGCTACTGCCCATCATTAAAACCCTTCTAATCATCCCACACACCAACACAAATCCTGGAGTGAGTGGGAGGCTGAGAGTTGATCTCAATGCACACATGGACTCAGCATGTGATGGACACTTGTGCGCTTGACTTACATGGAGGAGATGTTCTCAAACAGGTCCGGGAGGCTGTTAGTGGTATTCCCATCGCTCACGGTGTCCTGTAGTGCCAGGAGGGGAAAGAAATTCCCTTGGTAAGACTCATTGCAAAAGATGTTAGTGGTAGAACAACGGCAGGTCGGTGGGCAGTCCAGCATGGAGCTCATATAATCTTGGAAGATGTTGAGGAGAAACAGGATCCTCCACCAGCAGACGCGGGGTGGGATGGAGAATAAATCCATGTTTCCAGGTGCTTCCCTCAATATTTTAGCTCCTCACTAATGTTCAACGGCTACAGAATCGAAAGCGCTCCGGGTATCCGTACGGTGATGCGAGAGAGCGCGCGGGTGCGTGGATGAGAGTGAAGGTATGTCAGATCAAAGAGATCGTAATAATGTCCCCAAGAAAAGAGGGGGGAAATACTCCGTCAATGTAGAAAGGGCTCAAACGGTCCCAGGCTGTCCTCCTCTCCGAGCTGCATGGTACAAGCTTCCCTGTCTCCTCGGTGCTGTTTGTCGCGTAGTTCCAGGTTGTTGGATCTCTGGCTTGAAGACTAAAGCGTCAGAGCGCAGTCTAGTGTGTGAGAGAGAGAGAGAGAGAGAGAGAGAGAGAGAGAGAGAGAGAGAGCGAGAGAGAGAGAGAGAGAGAGAGGGCCATGCTCCGAGCATCAAGTCCCACCTACTGGGCAGATTAAAAACTGACGCACCTGCAGAACGGCAAAAGCGATCAAATCTGCACCGGAAAATAACGCACTCTGCAACAGGCAAAACACTGCTGCCAAACACTGCTGTACAAAGCAGTAAGAACCATCTATAACCATTACATAAAAAATCCGTATGTCCGAGATGACGAAAAGGGTCCATTTTCGGGGGG